TATTTAAGCACAGGAAAGATAAATGGAAGAAGAGATTAAATGGAATTCCTTGAATTCATTGTGTCCCTCCAGTCCTCACTTACTTGCTATTGATTTTGGTTATAGAAGATTGTTTTAATGTTTTAATGCAGCATTTTTAAAACTCAAGATACCCCAAAGCAGAAATAAGTTAATAACCATGTAGGCAAATTAAAAATAAGTCAGTATATGCTCAACCTTAGTTCACATACAGCCTCAAAAAGTAGAGCCTTGTTGAACCTTCTTGACTTCAGCAGGGTTTGGCGAACTGAAGTGGTAAAGAGGATAACAGGCTAAGACACAAGGTTTATCATTTTTCAAGAAGTACTCTCTATATAACGGGGACTCCATTTTCAAGAATAAACAAGTGAATGAGATTTCCACATCTAGTTTGCCAATGTCTACTTCACATGTGAAGTGAACTTCCAATTGTGGGATTTGGTTGTCTTGATCAAGTACCCACATTTTAAAATTGCGGGAGTGGTGAAGAGTCACCACTTAAGTTAGAGGTCAGAATGTCATCTGCAGCAGAATTCACATAATAGTAAAATAAATATTGATCTCTATTTTTCTGTTGTTATTGTTCTGATCTACTTAGCATTTTGATCTTTATGTCACATATGAAATTACAACAGGGAAATGACCGACTTTACTTTGGAGAAAAATTACCGCACCTAGGTCTCTCAAATGGGGCTTACTAGAACTGTATTTAATACTCATAAATTGATGGGGATTGAAATCAGCGTTATATAGTTAGATAATACTAGTAACTACAGTGCAGATATTCTTCACTTTGTTTTAACCATGTGCCTCGGCTTTGATCTGGAAAAGCCATCCCTTCCCTCACACAATTTGAATGCTAGGCTGTGGACACATGAATATTTACTACAAAATAAAAAGTAAAAGCAGACACACGTACATAGCTGTACTGTGCAGGAAAGCACTTCAATCCAAGGTCAAGTTACTCGTAAAAACAGTGTGGTAACTTTATTTTGTGGAACATATCAAGCATTCACTTCCCTAAGGAGACTGCCAATGAGGACACCAATAACGATAGGGTGTATAATATGAACACCTTGCATAGGATTGAGACCAGCAGCTCATTTCACACAGGCTACTAAACAGTAGTCAGAGCCCATGGACTATTTATTACTGCATGACTAGCTTCAGTCAAATTAGTGACTAAAGGGTGCAAGATTCCCTATACTATTACCATTATTTATATATATTTTCACAAACCTGGTACATATTTCATAGATGCTAAGAATGAATCTATTACCCATGTTTTCAGCCATCTATCCTCCCCTATAGATAACTGTAGTTTTCATCTGATGTGTATACATTTATCCTAGCAATTAGTGTTCTGATGACTTTGCTGTAATTGTCAGCTGAATTAGATTTTTATGTTACCACCCAAGAGTAGCCTATACAGTTGCCATGGAAATTAAGTGAAAATGTCATCCTTTTTGCCAGGAGACTAGCTAAGATTTTGAAAAGGTAGAGTGCAGATGGGGTGGGAGACCTCACTGCAGTAGAGGAGTTAACCTCTGTAGGCAGTGGAAAGAGTGCACTATGTATGTACTATACCAGGGGTTGGCAACCTTTTACATTAGGTAGATCACTGCTTGCAACCCAACTGCCAAGACCATAGATTACCTGTTACCAACTCAATTGTCCTGGCAGGGGCAGGAAATTATTTTGGGCGGAGGGCCACTTACCCAGTTTTGGCAGGCTGTTGAGGGCCACATGGGTAGCCCTGACTCTTGACAGATGCCCCACCCCTTGACAGGTGCCCCGCCCCCTGGTCGCCATGTTGGGACCAATGTCCCAGGGCCAGCACTGGTGGGGCCCAGGGCACAGGCCAGCAAGGGTCTGTGAAGCTGGGCTGGCCTGCACCAGCAGGGAGGGAGGAGCTGGCCCAGCTCCACAGAGCCCCTGCCGGCTGGGACCCTGCACTCCTGCCACCTTGCTCTGGGCCCCACTGGGACTGGCCCCAGGACACTGGTGCGGGCCCCGTGCTCCTCACTCCCAGTGCCCCCCAGCCCCGCGGTACAGGTGGGGGGCAGTGCTCAGCCCCGACCCCCTGCTCGCCAGCAGGGAAGCTGGTGCTAAGCATGGGGAAAAGTGGCCCCTCACTTGCCCCATGGCTGGCACTCCCTGCTGCAAGTGTTCGCAGCCCACGCAGGGCTGTCTGGAACAGGCACAGGCAGCCTCATGCAGGCTGCAGATGGCTGCAGTGTGGGGCATTGGCCATGGGGCAGGCGAGGGGCCACTTTTCCCTGTGCTCAGCACCAGCTTGTAACCCCCCACCACTGCCAGCCTGGCAGTGGGGCTGGATTACAAAGTGGTGCTGAGTGTGGGGTGTGGGGGAGAAAGCAGCCCCTCCCCGCCCCATGCCTGGCGCCCCACGCTGCAGCCACTTGCAGCCAGCCCGGAGCTGCCTGTGCCCGCTCCGGACAGCCCCATGTGGGCTGCGAGCGC